CGTTCTCTTGGACGCAGATCCACACCTAAATCGTGTCCTGTGAACGCGATTTCCATGACTTCCTCAATAGCGAAGTTGAATAGGAAAGGTGACAACGGGCATCCTTATCTCACATTGCTAAAGATATTGAAGGGTGGCGACAGCTTGCCGTAAACCTTCACTCTGCGCATGATACGCGCGTATAATGCTCAGATAATATTTACATATTTCTCGGGCACACCTCTCCTGACTAGACAGTGCGAAAGGACACATCTATCCACCGAATCGAAGGCACATTTGATGTCGTGGAACGCGACAACGGTGGGCCACCAATATGTGTGACGGTGCTCCAACGGCGCACGCAAAGTGAAGATGTGGTCAGTGCAACCACGACCTCGACGAAACCCAGCTTGCTCCTCACGAATCTGGCTTTCACGAGCGCCAGTCAGTCTGTGAAAGATTGCAGAGACAAGCAATTTGGCGACGATGGAAACCAGGCTGATTCTTCTATGGTTTGAAAGGCGCAATAAGAATACGTAGACTGGCAGATGCACGCAGTTATTGTTAAAGGCACTGATGAGACAATACGAATTATGTGCATTTGCCAGTATTCGTCATCTTCTACGGTTGTCACTTTCCGATCGTGAGCCTTCCTTGAAAATTGGGACTTTGACCCAGCGGCTCCAGTCAGTTGGGACAGTTTCCTGCTCCCACAGTTTCACTAGTAACTCGCATAAATCATCCACAAGAGCAGTTCCCCCGAATTTGTAAAGGGCTGGAGGAAGATCATCTAGCCCCGCGTCTTTATTTAACTTTAACTGTCCAAACTCGCGTTCGATTTCCGAGCAAGTGGGCGGATCCAAAGGCACAGCCTAGGGAGCAGGGTTATCAGTGACCGGTGGGAAATCTGACAATTCCAATCGCTTAAATTGCCTTTCAAGGTGCTCAGCCCAACGTTCCAATCCTTTCGACAAGTTGTGGATGGGCTGTCCCCTCTCGTCACGTATAGTTTCACTAACACCAAGTCTCCTGCTGACCGGATCAGACGGATTAACGATACTTACCATCTGGTGCTCGATGAGACCTCCAAAATTCGCGTTCTCTCTTCAGACTAGCCCGGAGTTTTGCCCGGCAGTTTCTACGTGTCTCATTGTGTTCGTTTTCAGCCGGAATGTGCCGGCGAGCATCGATAAGTTCCAGAGATTGCGAAGAGACCGAATGACCATGTTGGCGATTAGATTTACCACATGAGGATTTGCCTGCTGCTAGTAAGGTCTGGTGAACATGAGACCAACGAGCTTCGCTTGTACCCAGTGAGCGCTTTTTCATCTCGCTTGTCAGCGTACTTTGATACGCATTCAAAACAGCTGACTTCGTCCGTTGACTGGTGTTAATTCACTAACCGCATCGTAGTGGGCGTCCGCCAAAACGCATCTGCAGGTCAGCACGTGCAAGTGCATGTTCGGTGTCCACACCTGTGCTCCAAATCGGGCGCCAGTTCTTCACGCACCCTTTCCAGTGGTAACTGATCGCAGTGTGATCGATTTGCTTCCATGACTGGTTCGAGGCTGGTGGGCGCCAAGTCACCCTCCGGTGTGTGCTCGCAAGAAATATGCGAGCATCTTCACCCGCTCACCGTTATCATTACGAAAGCCTACACCGTGTTCGCCTCCCAGATGCAGTTCAGCAGCGGATAACTTTCCGATTTGAGCCTTCAGATCTTCGGCCAGCACTACAGTCTCCGTTTTTCTTCTGTGGCGTAGGAGCACGTTCAGTTGGCTATAGAAGTCGTATGTTACTGAGTCATCGTTAGAGTTTGTGGGCGCGTAGGCAGCGATGACGGATAGACACCTGTTAGTCCCGTGTGGCTTCGAAGCGTTGAACGAGCCAGCCAATGGGACCGCACACATCCGGCTACTGATTGGAGTCCAATCAACCAGAGTAGCTTCAGCCCGGGGACTCAGGGCAATACCAACACCGGCTTGGCCGGTGCTCGAAGCTGCATCGTCACCGGATAGGCGCAGTGCGAAAGTGCTGCTGGTGTCACCTGAAGGGGATCGCAGAGTGAGCACAGAGCTCGAGTCTTGCAGGTGGGTTTCCGAGAAGCAGCAGATATCGATTGAGAGGGTCTCTAATGTTCGGGCATGTGCTGCCTGTTGACCGATCTGTAGCAATGTGGGTACGTGGAGGCATGCCAATCTGAAAGAGGATCAAGGGCTCCAAATGGAAGTCGATGAACTGGGCTTGACCGCTTGGTTGGACATGGGCTTGTTGGCAGGACAGGAACGTCGCTGCGCCTTCACATGTGAGTTTAAATTAGAAGGTAAAAGCCTATCAGTGCACGGTAGGGGAGGGCCGAGAATTCGGGGGTTGAAAAGGGGGGGATAAACGTGAAGCTAGAACGGGACGATAAGGGTGAAAAAGCTTAAGAAGTAGAATAGGAATATGTGAAGGCTTGAACAGTAGCATCCGAACCCCTATCCACCCTGCTCGATGCAACAGATAAGGCACCTTTGATTATCCTCTGCGGTGGCCAGAGCACCAGAAAATTGTTACTTGAAAGACCCATAGTATTGCGTAGGCAGGATACTGTCAGGTTGCTGACGATTAGGGTTCTCAAACAAAGCCTTTGGTTCAAATACCTGACCGCGAGGGAGCGTGTTTGACGGTTGGCTACAAGGAGTCCGTTTTAAGGATTAAGGAGCCACGCTCATTTCAAATCCTAACCTGGAGGACCAGGTGGCTGAGTTTGTCTGGCCTCTAACCACTGACCATTCTGGTATGAGTGGATCTGAAAGTGCAAAAATGCACCACCCAGCATAGCCTAATGGATCACTGAGGCACACAAACCATCGCACCACGTTATGGTCCAGTCTCATCGCGATGGTGAGTTGGTGACAGAGTTCGTCTTTCATCGCGTCACCGCTTCTGTTTTTGGGTGCATGCACGGCATTGATAAACAGACACCATGTGTCTGCGCGCGACTTCTGACCTTTGAGCGATCCGTTCCATCTAACGATGCGGATCCGACTGTTTATCGGGATCCAGTCGGTTGCATGTTATTCGTAACTGGAAGACAGGCTTATTGAAGCAAGATGGGAGAATTGAAGACGCAGGGAATAAACCTGAAGTTGGAACGGGACGATAAGTTTGAAAAAGCGCAAGAAGATTGATAGGAAAACGGCAATACGTGAGCATCCTCACTCCTACGCAATCTGCTCGATGCGGCAGATATGGCGCCGTTGATTTTTCTCTACGACGGCTATAACACCAAGAAATTGTATTAACTGTGCGTCATTTTATTGTAGTGTCAGGTTGTCCACACCTAGACAAGGAAACGATTAGGGTTCTTAACCAAAGCCTTTGGCTCAAGTTCCTGCTAGCTGGACAGTGGATTTTTTGGCATCGGACTACAGAGTCCATTTTATGGGGTCAGGAGACTGAGTTTGCTTGGTTTCTAACGGTTGACCTGTCTTGTATAATCGGATCTGAATTTCCAAACGCGCGCAAACGATCGCATCACATTAAGGTCCATTCTCGTCGCTGAACGTTGCTGCACTACTGTCAGTATGTGAGTGCATTAAACAAAAGCGCGCTTCCGATTCGCCCAATTCTATGAGAGTGGATCAAAAACTCCTTGCCCGACAATATTTGTCACTTTTCAATTTTATCCCCAATAACTTTAATGCATTTAGTCCATCGGTGCTCAAGCATTGCTATCTCTGTGTGGAAGAAGGTCGAAGACTATCCCTGTAAAAAATTACTGATCTCGCTAATCAAATCACCACTGTAAGTTTACGACTCCGGAGGCAGGGTTTATTTTTGAATGTATGTCAATGTCCGATTAAGCAAGATGCAGCGAATCAGCGGAGTGTGGCAGTACTTCGAAACCACTGATGGCTACTCCTTTAGAAGGCTACTTGGGAAATGTGAACAAGTGCGATAATCCAGCAAAAGATGTACATCTGCTGCGGGCTTTTCTCTCCGACTTCCTCTGATTAATTGTCTCAGTTGTCATAATTCAGAAGCGTAATTCTCACCTGTGACGGTCTGACCCATCTACAAGAAATCTATCATGACTGCGCCCTCAGTTTCACAAAAGGCAGGCGCCACTTGACGGGACCAATTTTGGAGAGCAGAACCAGTGTGCTTCCATTGTTCGCTTTGAATCCTTGACTTGGTTCAAGAGACTAACCCATATTTATTTGTGGGTAACGAATGTGTTGAAAAATTTTGCGGGTTTTACCCTGAAACGCGTCAAAAGTTGCTTCGAATATTCCAGTATGTTCAATTTCGGATCGGGTGTCAACATTTTTTGCATTCATCTTCTCCTCAGTTTTCTCATCCCCAAGGTATTTGTTCAGACAATATACACTGAGTCATAACTGCGAAATAGAGAACTTGCCATTCAATATTATTCGGTGAATGATTTCCACATGGTCATCACATATCAGATGTTTTGGACAACCAGACCGTGGGTGCTCTTCAATGCTCTCCCTGCCTGTTTTTATTTTCGCAGCCAATTTCCTAACCGAGTCCTCACTAAGTGTCCTAACCTTATCAGAATGGATTTCCTTTAGTCTCATGCCCCTTAAGTGTAGGTACTTGCTCACAGTTCGGTTTTTGTCTATTTTAGCGATTGAGCACCTCAACTTAGTTAAATGGATCATCACCTATAAACAAATACAGATAGTACCTTCATATTCGACACTAATATTTTCTTTTATTTAGTTTGGATTCGCCCTTTCACTGCGTTCTACGATCGTGCGTGGGCCTCTAACTTTGATCCTAAAGCACAACCAGTCCTGAATGATGTGTCAATCATTCGCTTTGTATGTATCCCGCAGTCGCTCCCTCTTACTACTTACTATAGTGACTCGATTTGTATGCGTTGGTCAGTGATATCCATAGTCTTCTTTTACCATGGTTATTGATGTTTTTTCATTACTAGCGGCACGTGCTTGAAACCCATTTCTCATCTCATAAGGCTACGTTTTGCTCCGTACCTACCTAACTTTCAGCCTGTATATAGACAACGGAGCATTCAGACGAGTTTGATTCGCGCCCTACTTCTGGTAAGCTGAAGTGTCAGCGATCGACTCTCGTCGCCGGATTTTCTTTTTCTCGTACTCAATACAAACCTCATTCTTAACTTGCGTGCTTCGCCAACTTTGGTCGCCTTCTCCGCTGTGAATTATAAGGCTTTCATATCGCTGCTTTACGTATCTCTGGCATGGGCTGTTTCCTCTAATCACATGGACCCAACTACTCTAATTTACATTGTGGTGTCCGTGTGTGCTCATGGATATTCGAAAAATTTCCTCCTACTTACTCGTTTTTTTTTGTTGCGCTTAGTGCGCATTTTCTTTCCTAAGTGTGCATTTTTAATCGAGTTATTGGGTTATTGAGTTAGTGTTCGCTAACTGAACGTTGCTTTATGATCTTAACCTTAATACCCAACCTTGGTTACACTTCCCCGGCGTCTATTTTGGTGTGATGTTCTTTGCTGTTCTATCTATACTGTATCATTCCTCATTATTAGTCAGTCACTGATATATTGCGGATAAAAGTGCCAACACGTAACATATCCTGCAGGATGATGAATGAGGGTTTTTAAAAGAAAAGGAAATTGTCATGCTCAGTGAAACCAAAAACATTGCACTTACCGAGAAAAATTTGAACCGTCTGTATCGTTCACATGTACATGTTTGAAGCGTCGTCATCTTCGGTTTTCTTTTCAGAAGTGTGCACGTGGTTCATGTGTGTTATATCATTCAGTTTAACGCACATTGTCTACCTCAGTGGCGATTGTGTTGTGTCCCTTTGCCCCTCCCCTTCCTTTTAACTTCCCACTCCTACGGTTATCAAAATGTGACATTAGCATTATGTTACTTTTTTATAGCTTTTAAGCCTACATTGCCTAATGTCCTTTTTGTAATGCGGCACATTAGCTGCGGTGTATTTCTCACTCTCGGCTAACTTGAATTGATGATAACGATGATGATGATCTCTGAACACAGCCTATAGAGGCGGCAGTGTTATTTGTGGCGGCAAAACGTAGTGAGGAACTATCCCTTCTACACTCAAACCACCTTTATTATTCTGTCAGTTTGAGACGGTGGCCTCTTAGTCTGTTGTTATGGCTGAGCAGGTGGCATGACTGATTATTGTTACTTAACATTTGGTAACCCATGATAAGATCACAACGCAAACACCGATAGCGTCCACTGAAAACTCCCGGAATACTCAAATTCTGCTCGTAGGATAAGTGGTATAGCCCTTTGACGTTTCTGGTGATCCGACGTGAAATTTCCAGAACAGTGATATGCTGCTTCGGTCATGACTGCCACGCATATTCCACGTGCAGGCATATGTATGCAGAAAGCAGCTGGGAAAAAGTAGATGAATCGAAGTGACCTAAAGATATCTTTAGGAGCCCCTAGTTTTTGATGATTTTTCTTGATGTTTGTACAGCTTTCTCCGTGTAACTAAGTCCTTTTGGATCAGTGTACCGACATGCTTTTCACGGGACATTGTTGTAGATCTCGGTCGCCCAGCTGATAGGTGTGAACCATTTGGTATCGTAAATGAACTACTCTACATTTGGTTAAATTGAACTGACGACGATTGTGGACTAACCATAAGTCTTGTTTAATTCATTTTGAAGCTGCAAGCGGTTGTCTGGCGCTTTTATCGATCACCAAACTTTGATGTCGTCTGTTTAAAGCATGCAGTGTGAAGTGATTAAGCACAGTAGTTCGTTCGCCAAAATCAAGAACGGACGGTGCCCTATCACCGAACTTTGTGGCACACCGCACTCCACTTGGATAGCAGTCGGTAGAGATTCGCGCACTTTCCCTTCCAGACGCTTTTGCAAAGCGAAATTGCCTGCCCACTTTAGGATGGGATCACCCATGCCGTATCCCTGAAGCATGGCTAAAAGGATGCAATGGTTTAGCCGGTCGAATGCCTTAGGTAGACAACACCAACTCATACACTAATATGCACTATTTCAGTCTAACTGTTCCGGGTTAATAGTAGCTTGGTAGTGCACGACCGGTTCCGATGGAAGCCATTTTGCTGTTGCGCGATGTAGCCATGTTCATCAAGGTAAGACATGAGCGTGCCAACAGTGATAGCCTCCTTGACTTTTGAAAGAATTGGGGGAAAAGCCAATGGACGGTAGTTGGCTGAGTCGGGACGACTGCCTCCTTTGTAATTTGTAGTTATTATTCCATGTTGCCACGTTATAGGAACATGCGTCTCGTCAACACAGTGCTCCAAGAATCGCACCAAAGGTTCAGCCAATTCCTTAGCTGCAAAGGCAAACGCGTTCAAACGAATATCACCAGTCCTTGGAGAGTTGTGTGCGCGCATAGATAACCTTTTTCTCATCACAATATATACCGTAAAGTGTATGTGCTTAAAAAATCCTTGAGAATATTTGTAGCTCGGGATGCGGATGAGGGTATGCGGGTGTTCTCCGAGCTGGCTGATTTGGCTGCAAACGTTTCATCGTCAGGCTAGACGACATCATCTGTGCGATTTATGCGGGACACTTACAGATACAAGTGATTAATGATCACTTGATTCGAACGTCAGGAGTCTATTAGTCCACGTGAGCTGACCGTGTAGTCAGCTCTTGCTTACTGTTGGCTAGAGTCAGCCTCAATGACGTTCTTTTGTCCTGTTGATCTGGGGCGGAGTATTGGTTTGACCCTCAGTGCTTCATGGGCAGTGTCAATATCTAAGGGTCTGTTGATTGAGTTCTTCCCCGAGTATCAAGCCTCGACGTCCAGTGAGGGTAGCTGAACACGAATTCTCGACAACACGGAAAATATACATAATTAGAGAAGGTGAGACCCCACATAGTGGAAATTATACTTACCTTCAAAATCATACTTCCTCAGCGACTGACCTCAACGTCCATTTTGGACTCTGACTGTTCCTTTTGTCTAGCCAACAGAGAAGCACTCGACTGCGAATAATTGAATGAACAACTGCTTCATAAGAAGCTGCCAGTTGTACATGACCGTTCCTAGCAATCGACGACAGTGTTCCAGGACGTGGTGGGTCTTCGCCTGGCAAGCCTTTTCCTTATAAAAAGCCCCAAAAGCGGTTATCAACGCTGTGACGTGGCGGAGGTGAATCGCCGCTGAATAAATGCACCGTCCACTGATACACACTGGAATACAAACTAGTCCTTGTTCAATATTGTACTGTCACGTGCAACAAAGATACTCTCAGTCTTCATCTACTGTCCCCACTCCAATTTCCGTGCTTTTTTATTTACTCTACACACAACTGAAACGAATTTAATGGCACTCCACTGTTGAATTTGTTCCTCATGAGTGTTTTGACGGTTTCCGCAAGCTTTATAACTTTTAGCCACAGCCAATTGCGTGCATTGTAAAGTATCTGTTGCGCCACATAGTCGCATGAAAATTTTGCTCATACCTGAGGTGATATGGCTAGATAAATACGAGAATAAAATTATTTGAGGTCCATCGCAGCCAGTTTCCAAATCAGATAGTTGTCCACATGCCCGGAAAAGCACTAGACTGCAGTTTCAGCCTGTTGGACATCGTCAGTAGTGCGCATCCATCGGATCCGTCAGGATTCGAACCCATGACCACCAGCGGCTTGAATCGCCAGTCAGCAGCTTATGCCACTGGGCCACGGGGGACAGCTTCGGACCGTCATGATTTACAAGCTAACTGCGATATAGCGCGTCTTATCCTCCACTGCCATGCAAGTTACGAACGTTGCAGAGGATAGGGTTGTCCGCGGAAGACACGACGACCAATAACAGTAGCTATATACGACACAGCATTTAGAAACTGTCAGGGTGGATATAATAACATTACTATTATTACTTTTTGCCCTGCCTATGCTCCTGACATTCTCCAAATCAAACTGATGATTCTCGGCGTCCATATGTACCGACATCAGGGAGTTCTGGTCATGTCGGCGAATGGCTAGGCTATGCTCATGTAGCCTAGTGCCGAGCTTTCTTCCTGTCTGGCCCACATAGCATTTGTTACAATTTTTGCAGTGGATTTTGTAAATCACACCACTTGTTTCTTTTTTGCCAAGCCAGTGCTTACCATTGAAGAGCTTGTCTCGGATATTTTCTGTCGGTTTGTGAACAACTCTGATTCCAAAAGGTAGTAGCAGTCTCGCCGCCATCTCAGAGACGCCGTTTATGTATGGTAGAATGATTGTCCTTTTATCCGTTTCTGATGTTTGTTCATGCGTCGGTCCTTTTATTGATGTTAAACAAGTATGTGCTTAAACTTTGGTGCTAGCACAACGCGTTCCGTTGGGCCAAGTTACCACGGAATGCACTGAAGAATCGGCGCGTACTGCTGCTGTAAGACATCCGCCGCTTCTTTGGCGCTCCGTGTTGGACTATCCACTGTTAGAAGTGAAGCAAATCCCATTTTCATCTTGTGAAGCCTAACTTGCTTGTGCTGTGCAATTCTGTTAATATTTAATTTCGTCTTCGCGCACAATTTGTATATAATTTTTACAGCGGCCAACCAGGGTCTTCCAGGTGTTCTGGCTTGGGTGGATTTCGTGAGCCTGTCATGCGGCGTTTCGAGATGGCATGCATTTTCGTGCCACACTCCCTACAAACGAGACCATGTCGCTGGAACCGATAGATTTAGTTTCCGATGCATCAGCAGCCATAATGTTAAACTTGCTGACGAAACTTTACAAGACAATATCCAGTGTCCCGGCTAAGATATTCCACTTAGTCTTTCCCACTGGCTTAGCTAATGTGTCGCATCGTGTTAGCGTCCTCATCGCCTGGGTATTCACCCTGTGATATTCTGCATATCAGGTGTACATGAAGAGCAAAGCTGCATAATCGCTGCGGCCTAGAGGCGTATCGATGATCACTCTCACGATCATCAGTTCTTCGTAGATGAACATCCGATTTAGTTTAGAAGGCCTGTCTGCTTCTCTTAATCTGGTGCTGTTAAGTGGCCATAAAGCGGGAGACAGGTGACTGGCTCTTGCAAGTCTGTGTTGAACGATTTTCCGTGGGGACTTTTGGTTCCAGATCTTGAATGTTAAAATTTCCACTTGTACCACTTGATTATAACCCACCTCAGTGCGAATACCAGCTTGAGGTCCATATCGGGTGTGGAAGATGGAGGGCGGTAAACCACAGCCACCAAGAAAGCATAATTGTCTCCTAAGCGTAGACTGCACCAGCTATACTCCTACATCGTATTGACCGGATCCTCCAAGGAATAACATTGGAAGTCACTGCGCAAATACAGCGTCACTCCATTCCCTTTACTGGGTTGATCGTGTCGAACAACGGACTTGCCTGACAGCGCAACCTCGATGGCACTTAAGTCAGGGCGTAGCCAAATCTCCGTTATAGCGACAGGATCACAGGCCTTTGATCTCTGACGGAGTCGCAGTTTGGAACATCTGCTAAGTAGCCTCGGATCATTAATGTACTTACAGAATAGCTTCTTGGATCTCAGAAGCGCTTGACGAGGAGTGTATGGATGAGGTGAATGTATGCTGACCAAAGAAATGCCAACACCTAATCATTTTTGGCTGGTTTGCAGGTGAACAGAACAACGTAAAGTCTCGATATGGCTACTGGTCTGAGAACCTGGTTTGCCGACTCGCTATTGTGGTTACCTTCAATCCCGGGGTCGATATTTAAAGAGGTTAGGCTTTTGTCGATCAATCGACAGTGTAGGCGTTACTAACGTTGTATCACTCGACGCATTGAACAAGAGGATAGGAGTAGTGGAGCCCGGCATACGTCGATCGTTCGTGCTGGCTGGCCTGTTCGGGGTTTCTACGGTTTCCGTTATTGTGATAGCGTGGGAACGTCTTGCTCTTTTCCTTGGTTTCGAGGTAGTGATTGGAGGAGATGGGTGAAGCACAAACCTCTAGCATAGCAGTTTCACCATTCAAAAGAAGTTCATTTTCAGCGCTTAGACTGTCGTAATTTTGTAATAATCCTGGTACACCTTTTACAAAAGTAACCATCGGACAACCAAAGTGAGGTCGTTAGACTGCTTTACTTGGTACTAAGATGCTCTGGCACGGTTTGGATGATAAAGATTTATGCAGTGAGAACACGCAGTCCCATTTTTGCTGCCTTTTTTACAAGTTTCTGCTGCAGCTACTTTTGGTTTTACAGTTGTTGTAGACATTGTGGTCAAACAACCTGCCTGGTTTGCGAGTTGAGGGTGACTGGCCATTCGGTAACAACCGTCGGCGGCTTAGTAAGTCAAGGTTGGAAGACTGGCGCGTTACACCTAGCGCATTTCATCTGTCCGCCATATGAGATGGTGGGTAGGGCAGTTAGTGTATACCGGTTGTGTAAACCGCTGTCGTGTAGATCCAGCTGATTTGTCGTGTCGACTAAAATGCAAGCGGCGAGAGTCGATGACTGCTTGAGTGGGCGTGGTTCCCGATGAAAACTTCAGTTCCTCTATAGCTGCTACACACGGTGAACTAATGCGATGGGTGAAAGCTTGTCGGAAAACTGAGAGGCTTTTCTATCAAATGAAGCCAACTTCCGGATTGAGTGCAATAGCGCCAAATTGTGCACGTGAGTTCTCGTGAAAAACTGCCCAAAGTGTTGGGTCACGGTAAACCAAACCTGTGCCGAAATTATTCTGACGGTAATGCTTTTGGTAGATAGTGCTCATTGAACCGAGATGAAAACTGTAACTCCATCAACGTGCGAGTTACTGTTGCAGAGCAAATCCGAAAAGAACTCAGTGCTCAAGTTAATTCCACCGTCAGTTTGAAAGGTACAGTTGCTTGGTGTCCCACCATAAACCGCGCTCGTCTCACCCGAATTGTACCACTACTTGTCGGTTCCAGAGAATTTTTCCCATAATCCCCCGCTTAAAATTTAGCGTGCACCCCACTGCCTTGCTGGATATATATACGGCATTCTTTGGTATAATTTTACATGGCGTTTTAGATTTTGACTTTTACTCGTTTCAAGGTCATACTCCTTCCTTCGTAGCTGCTTTTGTTAATGACTCTTTTTCAGACACCTGCTATATCCGTTCGCGTTTTTGGATCGAGTTTATTCCATTTTCCTTCCTCCTACTTTCAAGCTGATAGGTTAGCCCTACTTGTTGTAACAAACGACTGTTTGGTGCGGATGTATTGAATGAGACAACTCCTGTCCTTATTGGACATAAACATTTCCTGTGTTCCCCTCCTCTTTATTGCATCCCAGTCATCTCGCTTTTCCTGAGGTTTGTGCTTTCGTCGTTATCGTCTTCCAACGTTTTCTTTTTCTCATGAGGCTTTTCGTTCACTGCATAATAGAGTGGATTGAGCTTTATTTTCTCGTGTGTCTCCCACGTGATGTGACCGTTTAGCAATGTTTTGTGCTTGTTTACAGCGGTCACCCCTGCACCGTAGGTGGACCTGGACAGTCTCAAGAGCTCAACAGCCTCATATCTCCTTAAACAGTTAAGGAGGCTCTCTTATCCCTTACGTCGATGTGCCTTAGACGACGTCATTTGGTGTGCACCGGGCGATCCCACCCACTTCCACCACGTCTTGCTGACTTTTCTCATGCAACCTTCAAGAGATTTGCTGCTGCGCAAACCATCTGCACACAGGGTGCATGGGTGCTTCACATCGCGACCGCCTTTTTTCGCTAACATTTGTCGGTAACGCATCGGTGTCGATTTCTCTCGCTTGTCTTTCCCGTATGCTTTAAGTGCTTTTCGAATGCTTGCATATCATTGTGACCTCCACTATCCACTCGTTACCCGCTGTTCACATTTTAAATAATTCGGTCAAATGACAAACTGCGATTATCCTCTGACCAGCTCCCCCGGTGCAAGTATTGTTTCTATACTTTTTCACGCGCCTTTGGATAACCAAACCTTGGTCCTCTTCTATTCTTTTCATCCACTCAGCTTGCACGCAAGTATCACTTTTCGTTTTCCAAATGCGCTATAGATGATGCAGTTGGGACTTCTTCTACCCCTCATACCAATTGACGAATATATGCCATTCTGACTTCAGGCTAGATATTTTCAAAATCAAACTGGAGGTTTTTAAAGCCGAACTGGACACCATTTTCGCGTCCAGCATTAGCACTTTACTAGCAAAGAAACAGCAACCTTCAGTTAATGAAAATCTGTTCACTTGTTGCCATCCTCGAGTTCACTATCATGGTGAGGATGTAATTCGCGCAGTTCTGTTCCGACTGACCGCGCTTACCCTCTGATCAGGCATCGGGTTAGTCGGCAGACAGCTTGTGGATGCCTTGATTTTCGAAGAAGTGATTTCTACTGGGTTTGGCATGCATATTTAAAGCGACAAAAACTTCAGCTGATTGGACCAACCAAGAATCCTCCTTAGATCGGCTGTCATGTTGCTTCTATCATTGTCTATGATCAGCCGTGCACTATTCACCTGCCACAAGCTTTGACACATTTATTGAGCTTCGTGCCATACGTTCAATGGTCCTCTCTCTTTTATCTCGATTAATTTTTGATCCTCACTAATTGGTTCTTGATAAGAGACCCCCGATACTTGAACTGGTTACTTTGGGGATGTCTTTTCTTTCTCGTGTCCGTTGGCTAACTAATCCGGTATGAATTGTTTTCCGTCGCTGCACAGTTGGTTGAAATTTCGGGCGGTCAGTCGCTGACGATACAATAGGTATTACCGAATTAACGGATGAATTTGGCCATATTGATTCATACCGTCCTTCCGGATAGGGAGATATGCCGAATTACGAACTAAAGATATAATCCAACACAGCGCACTCACGTAGTCAGTGACACTGCTGCGTTTGCTCTATTGCGTCTTGTTGTTAAGAATTCAACGAAACCAAGCTTTTGCTCTTATTTCGCGTCTTATTTCCTTCTACCGTCTTCTCACGGCGACGCGAGTCATGGTAGCTGGATATTCGGATCATAATTGTTTGCCTGAAGCAGTCCTGATATACATGTCACACCCCCATACACCGTCCAAGTCAGTGTACTGCGGCTAGATTAAACGAAGGCCTTCACATGCTTATTCTGCCGAGGCAAACGAAGTCAACGTGCCAATGCGGTATTCTTTTTGCACGGGTCTCTTCTGAATCACGAGAACCAGTGAACTCATATTTGTCCCACTTCCGTCAATATAATTTATGTATCGACTTCGAAGCTGGCATCTGCTTTGGAGCCGATCAACAAGTGCAATCATTTAACTAACGCACTTCTTCTTCTCTTATTCAAGTGGTTACTTGCTGCACTACTGTACTTTTATATGGATTTTATATCTTGTGTAACCTGCCAACACACAAGCAAATGTGTGTCGCTACAGCATGGGACTTGTTCCCTCTCAGGGTTGTTCACATCAAGCGCCAGCTATACCGCGGGGAAGAGTGTGGGCGCGAAGGCTCCGTCAAAGCAGTGGGCGCTGAAGGCCACGAAGGGAAGTGTGCCTGGGGCCGGTAGTGTAAAGAAACCTCATAGATGCTTGCCCAGCTCTGTTGCTCTCTGGAAAGTCGAAAGCTATCAGAAATAACAGACCAGTTCATCCGAACAGTCGCTCTTTATCGCCTCATTCGCGAGATCGCCCATACTTTCAAGACTAAAATTTGATGGTCTGTTCTGCAAGAGGTCTGTTCGAGTGTACCAATCCGTGCGCAATACACACCGTATACGTCATGATCACGCCGAAGGATATGCAGTTGGTTCGCCGAATCCGCGGTGAATGCGCTCACGCCAGTTTTTTTCGCACTGTGGACTTCTCAACAGGTACAATTTAAAGTTCATAGACAACAAGAACACACTGTATCGAAACGGACTACGCATGCTTTGGGCGCTCAAACGCTGTTTCTCCACGTGGTCTCTACAGATTGCTACTCACCTCTTCTCTGTCATCCTAAGGCCGATGCTAATGTGTGGCCCACTCGCACCTTGTCATTCACGTGTAGTGGGGTGCAAAATTGGACCGCGTTCAGCATATGGCTTCCAGGCTCACCCTCGGTTTATGTGTGTACCGTACGAAGACCGATGTAGGAGACTGAGGCTGTATACCCTGTCGCTTTCGAGTGGACCTCCTAATGACGCACCGGATATTACATCTGGGCGACTATTCTATTTTGTATCTCTGCGCGTGCGCACACTAAGCAGCACTCGCGAGCGCTGGCAAATACCTCTGGTATCGGAACTGTAGCAGATAGCTCAATTTGTGCTTCGGATGGTGAAAGTTTGGAACAGTTTGCTCAGGACAAAAGTCGAGGTAAAATCGGTGTCGAAATTCGAGGAATTCCCATACATCCAATTCGCAGATTTTAGATCTGGAAAGAGTTGCACCTCCGAACAGTGCACTGCACATCTGGTATGTGTTGCAAATGCCCCAATTCTAATAACATTTTTCTATGTGTGTGCCCGAGCGAATTGCGATAGAGCTCCACAAACTGACATCTCTCTTCACGTTGACAGTTTCCATTTATCGGTACCCGCACGTAGCAATGTGCTTATCCGGTTACCGCGGCATATGGTCGCGAACCGTCGAAGTTCAGGACCCATTGTGATCGGCTGTAGTTTCTAATCATTTATCTTATGTATGCTATTATCAGCTGCATCATAGTCAGTCAGTAAGAACACTAGAGAGTAGTAGGGGGTTATTGTGTTTTTGAGAAGATTTGTCGCAGTTGGGTCCAGACGGACAGCGGCTATACATTCAGGATAGGGCTAGACGACCGTTTCGTCCTATTGGGACTCGTCAATAGCGCGCATCTGCTGGATCCGTCTTATTAACTTGCATGCCGCCTCGATTGGTGGTGGCTCGCAAAGGAAATCGTTGCTCTGGCGGCTAACCCTGACCTCCTCAATTTTATAGCGGTGGAGGATGCGCTGCGCTATGTCGCAGTTAGAAATCAGTTATGGCGGTCCGCAGTTGTCACCCGTATTTCGGTGTCATAATTCGCTGACACCTAAGATTAAGGTCATGGGTTCAGATCCGACGGACTCGCATTATTGACGAGTCCCAATAGGACGAAACGACCGTCTAACGCTTTCCTGGATGGGTAGTATCTGTGTGGTTGGTCGAGCCTGCAATGAATCTTCTCAAAAACACTATGACCATCATTAAGGAATTTATAGTCGTCCATCTCTTCAACCTGCCGTCTACTTCATTTCTTTCATCCGCGCCTATGTGTTTTTACTTCAGCTGTTTTCCCAAGACTCTCAGCTTGCGCTGACAATGTGATCAATGTTTTAACTAAGTTACTCAAAACTGCACTACCTTAGCCCAGCTTTGCACGTTGCAACCGATATATTCGCACTCACCGGGTTTCTCCGTCCTAGCCGTAGCTACTTCCCCTGTACACATTGTCTAACCACCAATTCCAAATGTTACTAAGCTGGGCTTTATAGTACTATGATGGTCTGCTTATCTAAATGGTCCACCGACTAATGTTTTCAAGTGCTTTCTGAGCCACTCCTGCTAGTGATGTCAGTGGTTAGTCTCACAAACTAATTTTCATGCCGTTCATCGGATGCGTGGACGAAATCGATGCCCACCTACTCCCAGTAACCAGCCATTTAGGAGCCGCAAACTTCTCAATTGTCGTAAAGCAATGATACTACAGTTCTCATAATGATAGGGAAGTGCTTACTGATTCGTTACTACGCACCTCAATCTCGCTTTTCTCTAGTCCAAGGGGTGTAGACTCATCTGTGGTTAGCCATAGTCACGGCTATATCATCTGATAGATGACAAAATACGCAAGCAATTTAGACTCCTTTTGGGTTACGAGTGGCTGGTCCGAAGCGGACCACCGGTGGGACTTGTTAGCCTCCTACAGAATCGAAACGTTTTCTTGTTTTTGGTCACAGGCTATAAAGGGAATGCCATCAATTAGGATTGCTCTCTCTCGGAGTTTTCAAAACAGTGAATATCATCTGCTCCCTCGTCTTTTTTATCGCAGGTAAACCATCAGAAATTCGCAGTATGTCGTCTGTGCGCTTAAATCCTCTATCAAATCAACCGTCTCACCTCGAGCTTTGCAGATACCGCGCTGTCACATTGTTCGTCAAGCGAGTCTTGCGCTTGGTTTTTGTTGTCTCAGGATAAGTATGTTTTATACTTCAGAGACGCTCACACATTACAGTAGCTTCTCAACGAACCTGTCCGGAACTTGATAACAAACGCAGTCTTCTTCACGCCTCTGTTGCCACCACGTCGGCTGCTAAATCTTTTACAGTGTGAACGCTACACGCAACGGAATCACGGTGGGTATTCTTGTGTAGAATACGGTTGGTAACCATTTATGCACTCCCAGGCCTCGTTGTTCCATCATACTTCGTAAGCGCCGTTGAGTAATGCGTTAGTTTTTGTTACTTCAATTTTCCAGAAGCACTACGCCAACTGAAACTAAAGATCCGCTGTCTTTGCACTCTGAAGATTCTGATGAATGTTCAATGGTTGAGGATCCATGGAAAACTCAACAACGTAATAAGCCGTGAGACAAATATTATCTTCCCTCTGCTGATGGACAGCAAACCAGCTCACGCACGGCTCGATGTCGCCCCTCTTCCCGCATAAAACCGTTTCAAATGATAAGAAACGATCAAATCTGATGGTTTTTTACGCGTCTGAGTACACCGATCCGTGTTCTCAGTCACACTATGACCACGACTTTGCATTTTTATAGAGCGTGCTTGACAGGCCATTTTATGTGTAGGTGAGGACAATATGAAAGTAAGGCAAATCGTCCGCCTCGGCAAAATGATTGCTGAGAAAGATCGACTTTTGCCGACGAGGCCAGTCCAATGCTGACACTATCTCGACTGAGAGGTGATAGGATGCATATTCGTCTGAATATAGATCCAGCCGAACGAGAGCGCTTCAAATGTGCTATCATCAGGCTGAAGCGGTGAACCGGTGAAGGAGAAACAGATATACATGTTGTGAGTTTTCGGGTATTACCATACTAACGCGAATTCGGATAAATCGATCGTTCACTCTTCAGCCACGCGCGGTAGTTCTTACCGCAGCTTGCGTGTAGCTTTTACCA